CYTGTCGAGAGAAGAGCATGCAGGATAGATTACGTTTAGGCCATTTCACTACCGTGAGACACGGGGCCTCATTCACAGAGCAGTGGACGGATGGCTACGCCTTTCAAAACCTTGTCAAGTAAGAATTCTGTGGAGTAAACTTTTTATATCTGTAACTTGGCTTGCTTAACACAAGAGGCAGACTCTGATTCAATAATTATTGACGCTGTAAATGATTATCTTGTTTTGAATTCAAAAACTAATTTACTGTGAATGTTCTGATTCCATTTCCACGAGCAGACAGCAAGAATGGATAAACCAGCAGAGAGAAGACATCGAGAGGCAGAGGAAACTTCTTGCCAAGAGGAAACCTCCATCCTCCAGCAACTCTCAAGCACCAACCACAAACTCTGAGCCAAAGCAACGCAAAACCAAGGCAGTAAATGGAGCAGAAAACGATCCCTTTCTAAAACCCAGCCTACCTCAACTGTAAGCCAATTCCCTCASACTAGATGTTGTGTATAATCCAGTCGCAATCCAAATTTTACCAGTCTTTGAAATGAAATATTCAACAGAGATCTTTTTTTTTTTTTTTCCTGGTTAAGACTGACCCTAGCAGAGTACCATGAGCAGGAAGAAATCTTCAAACTGCGACTTGGACATCTGAAGAAGGTTTGTTTAACGTATTACCATTTCTTTATAAGCACAGACACAATGTCACATGTGAAATATGGAGATTATCAGTTATCCTGGACACGATAATCCTAACAAGTTGAATCAAAGACAACTGGACTTCTTTTGTGATTCTCTTTTGAAGATGTTTTGCTTCTCAAACAAACCCATAAATCCATTTGCTTATGATTCAGCTTGTTTGGTTCACATGTGGATTCATTTCGTGGTGATCCTTTTATGCATAATTCAAAATAGAAAACTTTTCTTTTGTTTTAATTTTAAATTTTAAAAACACAAAAATTGGTCTTTTTTTTAGTTTCACTCTGTACAAAGCCAGCAGATGGGATTTCTCTGAGAAATGTGTACAGGAAACTTTGGATGATCTCCTCTCCTTATAGCCAGTTCCTTCTGTTCACTTGTGTGTTTATGCTCTTGAATCATTTATAGGAAGAAGCTGAGATCCAGGCTGAGCTGGAGCGCCTGGAGAGAGTGCGCAACCTTCACATCAGGGAGTTGAAGAGAATAAATAATGAAGACAGCTCCCAGTGAGTCTAAATCCGAYTTCTTTGACAGATACTACTTTGACATTGAAAACGATGTACAAACAAGGACAGTATCCAGATACCACAAACTAATAACAAGTTTCCTTTTAACTTCTCTTTTGCCAAAGTCCAAAGTGAGTTTGTTGTATACAAATTTAACTAGATCTAAAATGGTTTATTTTTCTCTTTCCATCTAAAGATTTAAAGATCATCCAACTCTGAATGAACGGTATCTGCTCCTACATCTCCTGGGGAGAGGGGGCTTTAGTGAAGTTTACAAGGTAAGTTGATGTCACAATTTAAAGAGTATACCAAAAATAATCAAACAGGTTGTTTTGTTCTGTGTAAACCCATGGGTTTAATTTGCAGGGTGGGGCTGGGGGGTTATGACCCCCACAATAATTGGATCCAGTCAATATAACCCCCTAAATAAAATGATGTAATTTGTAGGGGTGTAACGATACAGAAAATTCACGATTTGGTTCAGTTCAATTTTTTAGTTTCACGGTTCGATATTTTTTTGATACAAAAAAGAGAAATTTCCACGCCCTTTTTAACTTGTAATTTATTTAAATTAATTATGAACATTTGTTTAACCTCATAAGTACAGTTTTTAAATTAAATGTTGCTGAAACAGCAAGTTTCTCAGTGGATCTGCGCTCAAAAATGCAGCCTAGGTGGAGTAGTCGAACACAGATCCACTGATCCTTCAACACAGAGCATCTTCAGAAGACAGGCTGATTAAAAAAACTGTATTGTTGGATACAAGTGTGTATTGAACCTAAAGCACTGTATTGAACAGTTCGATACAGGTACATGTATTGTTGCACCCCTAGTAATTTGCTGTAATACAATAGAAACGAACTGGTTAAATACACAACTGTAAACACTAGGTAAATACATACTCTTGGAAAATTTAGAAATTTAGGTATGTCATATATACATCCTAAAAATGTAAATTGTACTGTTGTAAAAAATTGAAAAAACTAAGCCTTTTATTAATTATTGAACAGACGTGGACCGACGTCACGTCAACAGAAAAGGTGCAGAGTAAATACAAAGTGAACAGAAAAATTAAATCACAGTAAAAACATTACCATGTGTTTTAACCCCAACATTTCCTGCATGTGTTTTTTTCAGGCATTTGACTTGATTGAGCAACGATATGCTGCAGTGAAAATCCACCAACTTAACAAGAACTGGAGAGAGGAAAAAAAGGAGAATTATCACAAGTATGTGTGTTTAATTTCTGACTAAGATAATGACGTATGTATTGATTACTTATAACCCAGCCTCTGCACCTCCTCTCTTTGAGTTCTAATGGCATAAAACCATCAATGTTCACAGGCATGCATGTCGAGAGTACAGAATACATAAGGAGCTGGACCATCCCAGGATTGTAAAACTTTATGACTACTTCTCACTGGACACAGACACGTTAGTAGCTAAATGCATTATTTTTTTAGTTATGTAGATGTGGGCGGTAAATCTTGAAAGCCATTTGTTCATTCACTAGGTTTTGCACCGTCATGGAGTACTGCGAGGGCAACGATTTGGATTTCTACTTGAAGCAGCATAAGCTAATGTCTGAAAAAGAGGCACGGTCGATCGTCATGCAGATCGTGAATGCGCTAAAGTACCTAAATGAAATCAAACCCCCCATTATCCATTATGACCTTAAACCAGGTAAACACACCTCTGAACATCTGATGACTGAACACACGCTCACAGTGTTTCGCTGACTTTTATGTACTTTGATTTCCAGGTAATATCTTATTGGTTGATGGCACAGCCTGTGGGGAAATAAAAATCACAGATTTTGGTCTTTCTAAAATCATGGATGATGATAACTATGGCGTAGATGGGATGGATCTGACGTCACAGGGTGCAGGGACCTACTGGTGAGACAAATTACTGCTCGATGAAATCTATACATCCAGGAGGAAGTAGATTTGACAGTTTGCTTAGAGAGGAGGAGCAATACAATTCAGTAACATGCTTTCTGCTAGCTTGTGTTTTTCAGTACCTAATCTTTAAAAAATTAAATTTAGCACCTGAGCAATGTGATTCAACYTGGATTTTGGTAATCATTTAGTGGTTGTGAACCTTTGTGCTTGTGTTATAAACACCTTATTTTTATGTTCCTGGTGTTAGGTACTTGCCTCCTGAATGTTTTGTGGTTGGTAAAGAACCTCCAAAGATCTCCAATAAGGTGGACGTGTGGTCAGTGGGTGTCATATTTTTCCAATGTCTGTATGGAAGGAAGGTAAGGAGGATAATACATTTTTTTCTTAAGTTTTTCAATTTTATTTTGTAGATTAAGCCTAAAGCTTAAGTTGTGCCTGTTTTAAATCTGCAGCCTTTTGGGCACAATCAGTCACAGCAGGACATTCTGCAGGAGAACACCATACTAAAAGCTACTGAGGTCCAGTTCCCTGTCAAACCTGTTGTTACAAATGAAGCAAAGGTAAACAAATTTGTATGCCACTCTGATTATTCTGATATGGCTGTTTCTTTTTTGTGGAAAAGTGAATTTTCAAGTTGTTTTTTTAGGCCTTCATAAGGCGATGCCTGGCGTACAGGAAGGAGGACCGGTTTGACGTTCTCCAGCTGGGAAGTGATCCCTACCTGCTCCCTCACATGCGAAGATCAAGCTCCTCTGGAAACATGCAAATGAGTGCCGCCAGTTCTGGACTAGCTTCATGTAGTGTTGTCTCATATTGACAGTTTTGAACTGTGACGGAAAAAGGCAAACTGTCGACTGAAGTTGCACCTGTAAGGCTCATCAGAAGCTCAGACTTCTGAGGAGATGGGGCGGGGGGGGGAAGCCAGACACAGGTGATGAGGATCTTCCTCCTGACCTGCACCAGGCTTTTACTCATTTACCAGGGCTTGATCATGGATGGACATGGAAGAGATGTTGTAAAGGACATGAGTAAATGGATCATTTTGATGTTCTGGTGGGAGAAAAAAAGCACTGAAATTATTTACTTTGAAGAAAATGTGACTGGATACCCTGTTCAGATGTTGCAGAATGATAAAGCCTAAAGTGGCTGAAGGGAGAATTGGCTTCTTGCCATTTAGATTTAATGACATGGTCCTGCCAGGACGCAAATTATTCAGCTGCTAGAAATTAATTTACTGTGAGGAGAAGACAGTTATTGTTGAGTAGAACTACAGAAATGTCACCATTGATTTGGATAATTTTGTTTCTTTCATAAATGTTAGGCTTTAATTTGAATTACTTAGCCATGGGAATGTTAATGTGTAGCATACAGGTGACATCTAGTGTCATGTAGGCTGGAGCAGCRTACTTGCATATGTTTAATGCACAAAATAACCAAATGTAGAAAAAAAAGTTTAAAAAAAGACCCTATGCAGGAATATTAACAGATAAATTGGAAACTGTATATGCTGTATAGGTAAATTTTCAAATTGTGAACTGCAGCAGTAATATGATGTACAAAGAGTTAAAAAATTTTCCCAACATAAAATTAGTTTCCTGGATTGGTCTCATTTTGCTGCTTTGTAGCTCTTATTTTTTTCAAGGGCCGTTTGTTCCTTTTTGGGTACAAATTGTACAGTTCTGCTAAGAGTGAATAATAAATTCCAGGAACATTTTTCCCTCTCTGCAAGTAAATGGTATAGATTATCTGATAATGTACATTTATTCAATTTAAGGTTTCCAACATTTGCACAAATATACAAAAAAAAATGTGCTGCCACCTTCTGGTTTTTGTTTGAACTGCATTTCACTAAGAATGGAAAATGATGGCTGGGGGAAAACAAGATTGATAGAAATCTGTGTAATGAAGATATTAAATTTTACTTTATACAAATCCAAAAATGATATGACAACTGTGCAAGATGCAAACCTGCAATTTAACAGAAAATCCTCAACTTGACCTCAAACCATRCATTCCTTTGAAACTCAGTGGCCAAACCATACATATGAAATGATGCTGACTTCCACATCTGAAGTAACCAGTTTTCCAAACGGTGCACACTGATAACTCAGAAAAGTGAAATAACACGATACAAAGTGTGTTTTCATTCTCTTTTGTGAAAATGTGTGGTGATAAAATGGTTTTAAAAATTAGGCCAGGTTTTGCTGAATTTGATCAGACCAGCAGTGTAGCACCAGTATATCTGTGAGCTCGTAAAACACACTTCAGATTGTTGTAAAAGACCAATTTGTCAGCTGAGTGGTGCAGCAAATGGACTGGTAAGGACTTTAGAGCAAGGTGTCATCCTTTAGTGTCACTTTGTGCTATAAGGAGTCTGCAGATATGGTGATATTTATTGATCCAGAGGTGGTCGCTGACGAGAGGTTGGGTGTTTTGGCCAGTGAATTGTTCATCTGAATGCTTGCAGAGGGAGATGTGCTGTTGTGTGCATGYGTCGTTTCTGCTTGAGCAGCGAATTGTGGGTAAAGGTAGTCAGCTGGAGGTAGAGATACTGGTGGGACTCCTGCTGGCAGGTTGAGAGGAGGAAGAGGTGAAAAACCTGGAGGGAAAAACAAAATATCAACAAATATTACATATTTTTATATGAAAAACAGTTGCTTAAATAAGCTAGATTAGAAATTGACATTTAATCCTAGTGATTTTTTTTTTATTACATTAAGCACACAGGTTCACTTCCTTTACTGTGTATGCAAAATATCTGGACAACTCATCTTAGGGATGTGAAGTTTATTGATCTCTTTCCAAAATGCAGTTTATCACAAAAAATTTGATGTCAGGCACTTTTGGGTTATCTTGCTAAGCTACTATAAATGATAGCAGCTGAGGTGCATTTTTAAATCCTGGCTTCACGTCACTAAAATCAACTTCTAAATCCTCTCCTTTACATGAAGGTATTTTGACTGGAAGTGCACTATGTAGGCATTTCTCTTAAGTGTTTCTAAGAAATAAGCTACGACAGGTTAAACCTGTTCAACAGTTGCACAAAGACTTGAACASCAGTGTACCTGACAAACAATGACAAGGTGTAATTTTGGGGGGCAGATTATAAATATAGACATAAGTGRTCATCAGTGGGAAAATAAGTGGCTTTAAAAACGTAATATGTACAGCCAGAGGTGAACCCATTACCTGTGTGTTGTAAKCCAACTGCAGGTGGCACATGATTCACATTTGGCAAAGTGACGTTTGGGTTTGGCATATAAGGAAGAGGTGGAAGATCTCCAGGAAGGGGTTGAAAACCTGAGCAACATAAACTACATCAGTTTGAAGTTGAAYTTTGTGTTAGTTCAATACAAAGCTCTAAATAACTTGGCAAACCTGAAAGTGTCGGAGCATCATGAGCAGACAGTGGAAAGGCCTGAGAGGGGCTTATTTGGTTGGACGGTGGGAGAATAGGAGCTCCTGAAATGACAGAAAATGTTACCATGGTGGACRAAGAATTTCTCCATCGATCTACAAATCCAGCTTCAGCTTTCGCTCTACCTCCCACCCCRTCAGACCTTGAGTATTACCCCTCCAGAGATGTACCTGTTGGTAGGTTGTTGACAGCTGTTGGATTAGAACTGATGGATAAACTGGTGAGAGGCTGCTCCAATCCAGTGGAAGATGACAACACAACTGGAACGGTTGGAATGACGGCAGAGAGATGGACCTGTATACCAAATTCATTTACATGTTACCAAAATCTAAAAATATAAAAAAAGTAAATTAGAAGTTGCGTCATGAAAATATGGGAATACTTCTGTGAAGCCATCTTTAGTTGGATGAGCTGCTTCGCCACGAGTCTGAACAGGAAGTCCAACTTTCTGGTCGTCTTCTGTCCGCTGTGTTGGTATCCTGTGCAGGTAGCCAAAACCAATCCCACATCCAAGACTGCAGAGTTAAACAAGCACAGCGACACAGTGCAACAGTTTATATTGTGTCGAAGCCAAACGGGCAACAGAACAAATGATCCAATTTGGTTTTCAATCAATTTAATCTGGATTTTTAGCTGTAAACAGAAAGTAACATGGATGTACCTGCCCTCTCCTCCCCAGTCCGAGTTGGGGGTGATGACCACCTCGCGGCAGTTGTCTGTGTCTGTGCTGTAAACGTACAACTTCAGCTCCTTCCCTTCGTGAGCTTCAACGAGGGAGAACAGATCTTCACTCTGTTTAAAGAGCAGAAACACACACACCAGCTCAGCCTGCTGCTAAATAAATCGAAACATCACTGCCAGTCAGCAAGGCAGGTACCTCGTGCATGGCGATGTCCGCTCCGATGATGTAGTCGATGTAAGGCCTCAAACCAGCCAGGGCTGCGGGAGAGTTTGGCTCAACTTCCTGAACTCGAAACACATTAAATAAACATTAACGAGGTGCGGACCTGCTCAGATATAACAATTCAAATACTGAGGAGGAAGAGAGATTAACAGCAGAGTGAGAGTGTTACGTATCATTGAATAAACTATTTAACAGATGCTGATCCCTCTGCACTCACCAAGACATGCCAGACGTTCTGATTGGCTCCTTCGAAGCTGCAGAAGCGTATGCTGACCCCCAGAAGCCCCTGGCCACCCCACGTGTTGCTCGGCGTGACTGTGGTCTCCCGCACCRTCTGCGTCTTGCTGTTGTACAGCAGCATCTTGACGGGCAGCTCCACGTTGGTTTTCAGCAGCTCCTTCAACGTGTCGTTGTCCCTCTTCTGTCAGACATTCAACACATTTCAATCAGTTTGCGATGAGGGCTGAGGTTTTACCAACCCGGCGGTCAGAAACATACCAATCTGGTGTCACAAACAGAGATGATGAAATCAAAGTATGGCTCCAGTCCTGCACGATTACCGGGGGAATTTTCCTGCACCTGCAAAGTTGAGGCAGCATAAGGATGTCAGGAGGTTATCAGGTCAAAACAACAGAAAACAAAACTTTCATCTCATATGGACCACAAGTAAATGTAAAACCTTAGAACTATCCATAGTTTTTTTTTATCATGGTGGTTAATATTTTTTGAATTGTGTCTTTATTTGGCAAAATTTAAACAGCAGATCTGAGATTTTTACTCTTTTCTGTGTAGTTGTCAGTCACACTAAACCAACAGTCTTACAGGAACAAGAGGGAGTTAAAGAAATGTTAACACTTCGAGTTGAGCTACTGTGACATGCACATAAATTTCATGTAGAAATAGTTAAAGACAAAGCTGAATGCTTACTGTGAGATTCTGATATATCAAGTTTTCAAACTTAATAAAGTAATAGTTTTGCGTGCAAGGTATCAGGACCCTTTGAAAAGGAGACTTTCCATCAATAAATGCTGTTGACTTTAAAGTGCCTGTGACATAAAATTTTTGTAGTAAATGTGAATGCGTTTTTGGAAAAAGAACATTAATAAGATATTGCAAAACAAATTTCACGTCGTTGAGATGAAGAGTTGTTGAGATATTTGCATGTGAAGAAACAGGAAGTGATGCCAAAGGGGAATGTCTGCATGAAAACTGAGTAATGCTACAATAATTAGGGATTAATCTGATGTTTCTTTAGATTATTTTGAGTCACTATCAGAGTTGAAGAAGAGTTCAAATAATACTGTTTCAATAAACAAAGACTAGAGAGATTCTTTTCTTAAAGAGTGCCCCTTTGATGTCACTTCCTGTTTCACTTTGCTGAGCCAAATTCAATAGAAAATATGCCAGTTATGAGACAGAATGGGTAAAATCATGTGTATTATGCTTATTTTCTTAAATATAAATATGTTTTCTTTGACTTTTTGTATTTGAAGGATAAGCATGTCACAGGCCCTTTAAGTCTGAATTATTCTAATTTAATGGTAAGAAAATGAAACTTTAAATTGTTTAAAAACGAGAGCATGGAAAGGTTTAAATTCACCTTAGCAGGTGAAACTATACAAACAAAAATATCAGAATTTTAATGTGTAATACAATCCAGATTATATCTGTTAATTTTCTATTTTCTGAAACATGTAAACGTTTAAGTTGTTCTCAGTGCTGCTCTGCAGTTATAGACACCAGTCGTCACATGGAGCTACACACTTAGCTCTGAGATGTCAATAAAGCTCACTTAAAGTGGAACTTAAGTGAACTTACACCCCCCGTGAAAGGATAACTCTGCCCCAAGGCAAATTTGAAAAATGCCTACAAAGTGGAGACTCTGAGGGGCACGGCCTAAAGTGATATTATTGTATAAATTTATTTTTATTTTTCACCTTACACATTTAATTCTTTCCTGAACACAGTAAGGCTGTGGAAATGATCTATACTACTACTACTACTACTCCTAACAACAACAACAACAACAACAACAATCTAACAGCTGTGGAGCCTTGTGTGTGTAGACACATTTTTCCTACATCATGGGGATAGTGTGTGTGTACGGGTTTTTCCTACAACGTGGGGAATGTTTTACCAAAAAAGGCAGCCTCATGGGGACTGAAGTGAATAGTGGGGACCACTGCCAGGTCCCCACGGGTCCAAATGCATGTTACAGGTGTGGGGTTTGGTGTAGGACCAAGGTTTAGGTTAGTTTTAGGGTCAGGTAGGTCTGTGAGGTTAAGTTTAGAGTATATGGTCAGGGTTAGGACATAAAGGCTAAAAAAAAATGAATGGAAGTCAATGGAAGATCCCCACGGGGACAAGAAACAAACGTGTGTGTGTGTGTGTGTGTGTGTGTGTGTGTGTGTGTGTGTGTTGGCCCGATCACAACTATGTGATACAGCAATCTTGTTTTTTGTTCAAACAAAAATCTTGAAGCACAAAGAGGATGTGTAAGTTAATTCAGTTTGTTTTATGACTGACAGACTCCATGTTTTCACTGTCGGTGAGGAGAAGGCAGCTTCTACCACAGCAACGATCCCCAATGCTATGGCTAACTCCTGAATCTCTGCAGGGCGTCTCTCTACAGAGAGGCTTTCATACTGAACACTGCTATGAGACGTCACACAGTACCAGCAGCGTCATACGGTACTTTTTGAACGAAAAACRAAATTCAAATGTAGTAGCCATAGTTGAACTCATTCAGAGCAGCACAAAGACGTTTTTAGACACAATATTGTACATTTAAACAATTTTAGCCCAAAATGCTAAATTTTAGTCATAAATAGAAAGGTATTACCCTTAGGATACAGTTTAGATAGTTTATCTGCAAAAAAAAAAAAAAGTTGATTTTGGGGTAAAGTTCCTCATTAGTTTTATGGAGCACAAATCTTCAATGTCTCACTATTCAAGTATTAAGAATCAAACTTTAAAGAATAGCACCAGAAGTGAAAGTAGAGCTGTTATTTGTGCTTGCAAATAATCCCAGACTAAATGCAGAGGTAGACATAAGGATATTTTTCAGGTTGTCCAGCGGACAACCTGTTGATAAAACCTGGTTGTCCGCAAAATATTTTGGTTGTCCAAAAGAATCTCAAGAAAAATGTAATTTAACAAGTATATTGTTCTGTAGACAAAGTTTATTATATATAATTGTTCTCAGGGAGGCTCAGGGAGTAAAGCAGCAAAAATGCTGCTAATAAAATCTAGAGGTTGCCCAACATTCATAAACGTCTTTCTGCTGATAGGTCAAACATTTTCACTTAAATAGGTGTATACTGTGCATGACCTTATTAAAAGTTACACTGTTCTGTTTGGCTTTACCAAGTTTTTTCTCCCTTTCATCTTTACAAATGGCGGACACCCGCGGCAGAGAACTTTAATCAAGGTCYTTTTTTCTTGGTTGTCCACCAGACAACCAGGAAACAGGATCTGGTTGTCCGAAATGAAAATAGGTTGTCTCGGACAACCTAAACAATGGTTATGTCTACCCCTGCTGAATGCATGTGTAAAACAGATGGGAGCATTAACATTGACTAGCTTTTATTTTGCCAATCCAGTATGTTTCTTCAAAGCTGAGGTTGTACTAAAGAGCATCTAMAACAGGTAAGATTATGAMTGCTCATAACCTTTCCACASAWCCGCTCTTTATTTGTCCTGCAGGGATTTATCCTACAGGAAAACATTTCCTCAGAAGTAAACGAAAAATGACTGATAATGGGTCAAAACRATTATCTGCAGTGAATCAGGTTTTTTCTTAATCAAGTTAAAGAAAGTATGTCCAGTATTCTAAGAAATATAATCTAAAACGTGATCTCTAAAAGGTAACTACACACCCGTCTCATAGTGACCACACCGGTTATTCACGTAGGGTTAATATCCGCTGAGAGCTTAAAAAAAAAGGTGCGACTGCTGAGGACAAATGCATATATGGTCAATAAACATGTACACATGAACTAATATGTTATCTTTTCCGTACGGTTCATTTTTATAATTAAAAACAGCTGGATCGGAGCGGTCATTGAACGCATCACTCCGCTGACTGAGGACAACCAGCATCACCTTTCAATCAGATTCATTCATAAACATCTAATTATGACATCAGCCAARAGAAGTCTTCCACTGATATTTCAGCCACATGAATCCTATTAGACGTTATTATCAAATACTAACCACAGCAGGGACATTTATTTAACATTTACTCTGTGATCTGAAGAGGTTCAATCACAGCTAGCTAAGCGGCTAAACGGGAAAGCATCATTTTATTAAAGCTGCTCTTACTCTTAGGACGTGATAGCCTTCGGTTCCTCCACCTGGTATCTGGACGCTCTGAGAGCCCCCCATCTTCCCCTGAATCCGTGAAACAGGGCGGGATACCTGTGCTGGTTATCTGGCGGCTCCACTTCAAGTCATACCGTGTTTTTTTTCTGTCTGTCCTGCTGTTCCTGGTTTACAACAGAGGCACCTGTATGGCAGGCCGTTGTGTCATGTAATCAGAAAACCTCCAAAACAGCATTCCTCCTTGTCAAAACGACKTTCTTATTTTTCAGAATTAAAAATAAAAACATCCTAGATAATATTTCTAATGACCAAAAAAAAAAAACATGTTTTTCAAGGTGTACGCAACTAAGAATGTATTTGAGAATAAAAAGACAAGTAAAAATTTTGACTATTGAAAAAAACTAGAAAATAATTCTGTGGTTTTAACATTTAATTGCTAGATTATAAAGCGCATGAACCAGTTAACATGATTTGGCACAATGTGGTGAAACATCTTAAAGTAAATATACATGGCTTATCAATGAATCTGGGTGCAACAACTTGATAAAGCCTACAAGTGCTTTATTTTTTAAGCTGTATTTTGCTACAGTAGTAAAACAGCTGAATATCCTTGARGATTGTATCAAATTAAATAATTGTTTCTTTTAAGTCTTGCTAACATTTTAAAGGAGGAGTTTTACATGAAAGTTTTAATATTTCATTTTTATTTGTTTACAGTTCATTAAAATATGCTTTATGTGACACTTGCTCTTTCAAGAAGCATATAAAGAAACTGTTTCAGTAGCAGCTTGCTGACGCCTTAAAACTGAGTGTCAGGACAGCCCTCTTAGATTTATTACTCTTCAGTCCTACAGAGAATTTACAACTAAAGCCACTGTATGGACCAGCTAATCCATTTAAAGCCTCTCCATGTGACAAATTTACAGGTAGTTTTGACGCTTAGTAAAGGAGTGTTCTTCAATCATCTTTCATAAAAAAAATGTGTGTCATTTATTTTCCATAATCCATGCATTACCTCCATTTCAAAGTTCCTTTAGGTTCCAGTGTACATCCATTGACACAGTTCATGGTTCACACGCTTCACACAGTCAAAAAACTGTTTGCCTCTGTCACTGTCATCACACCTGAGCACTGATGCACCTGGCTTAAATTGGGTGTGGAGACAGTGACAGGTAGCTTTTTTCCTCCCTCTAGTGCCCACAAATGGAAACAATACAAACAACATAAAATGGCTCTAACAGCCACAAAAAAGTGCCTTGCTGTTTCGTTCCGTCACATTTAACCACAGAAACCTGCTCTGCAGTGGAGGAGGAAATAAAGGCAGACCTCCTCCCCACAGTCCCCCCCCCCCCACACACACACAGACATAATGGATCTCTGATTCTTTTAAAAAAGTTGTTCATTTATTCGTTATAAGAAGATAACAGAGTTAAACACAAGTATCAGTAGTTATCACATTAAAGAGATGATTCTGATCTTTTGAAGGGGAGTTCTGTAGAAAGGCTATGAACAAATAATGTCTTACCTATAATGCTACAGCTGCTGCTTTTTGTGCCTGCTTGCAAATTACCATCATGGTAGAATCTATTTTTTGTGTTGTTTTCTTTTAGGGTTATTATTCTCCCACTTCATCATGCAGTCTAGCGTTGTGCTTCATCCCTGTCCAGCTCTCCTCTGTGCCCTTCCAGATTCTTTGTCAGACCTTTGCTTTCTTTTGTTTATTAAATCTGTAAATTACTCATGTTGGTCTGCATTCCTGTCAATCACTCCTTTGAACCGTGGCACATCTAATGTTAAACTGGCAGTGATTTAAAGTTTTATAAAATGTTGTTTGCATCAGATGTTAATTTTTTCTTTGAGATTGTAGAAGTTTTATAATAGCAGCAATCCACTTAATCGTGGCCTCGCTCAGATTAGTCATAACTCCTCAATCTGATTAAAATTAAACTTTGATTCTGAAGGGAATTCATGATCAGTAAATCGAAGGCTGAATAAGCAGAAAACCATTTGATTCTCTTCAAAAAACTTTATTCCAAATTTCAAAGCAGTCAGGCTTCAGTCAGCCATAGGCCTTGGCACCTTATCAGAACATAAACAAACAAGCCCACACTGCTCTAAGACAGGGACGACACAAAAACTAATAAAAAAACTCTTCTCTCATAATGATGAATCAACCTTTTAACATATATCTTTTCCTGGTTACACCCCAGAAGGTGTTACCTTTTTCGTCAGATGTTAGAACGTAACAAACATTTGTTTACGAAGACAGAAAGAACACATTGATAAGACACATTCTCTGTTTAAACCATGTGGCTGCAATGATTAAAAAGTATAAAAATACAAAACTTGCATCATTCAGTTAATCAATTACAAAATTTTCTTTAATTCTCTAAAATTAGTGTTTTCAAAGAGTTATCTAACAGAAAAGAATGATCATGTGGAGTGCATGAACCACTATAAAAATGTTTGAGATTAGAATAGTTTTTCATTAGCAGTAATCCATGTTGTCTTTGGCTTCTTTCAGATTAGCCGTTAAATCAACAACCAGATCAAAATTAACCTGCTTTTCTTAGCAGTGATGACCGAAACAGCAGACTGACTCTGAAAGCTCGAGTTGCAGGTTGTTTTGTTCATAAAACCAAAAACAGCAAATCACCACACAGASAATCAGTAACTTGTTGTGTTTCTGCTCCAGAGCTGGCATTTTTATTTATTTTTATTTTTTTTATTCTTTTGCAAAGACTTGAGCAACCGTTTTTACTCCAGGCCTTCCCTTCAACTTTAACTAGCTCCACATTACGTTTACACACTCTCCTGCTACAGAGACAGACAGATAGTCTCTGGACTATTAATCTGCTTAAAATTTACTTTCTGCCAGGATTAATTAAGCTGTGGAAGTGCAGTCATTAACTGGAGGCCATTTAGATAAGAAYAACATTCTAATTAGAAGACGGAGGCCTTAAGGTGTAATAATTGTTGCTATTATCGCTGTTTTGTCGAGCACAGTTACTGTTTGGTTTAAATTTATGAATGCTCAGATTGTGGTGGTGCATRAACACAATTTATAAGGAATGATTATTGTTTTGTAGCCTGAACATAAAGAAACATTAAAAAAGTTATCAAAGGTTAATAATCTTTAAATGAAGAAACCCACACAGTAGTCTGAAATCCAGCTGTTGCTGCATGCAAGCCTTGGAGGAAGCATTTGGCAAGCAGCCTGCAGTCAATATCATCATTTCATTAGACCTCCCTCACACAACAGGGACGTCAGGATATATCAGGAAGCTAATGTGCTAGTGATTCCTGGGAGTGGGAGATTTATTTGGCATGTCGGGAAACAAATGACGAGATTCACAGATAAATAAAGCGAGTAAAACACAGCTGAGGAGGGAGGGATGGGAGAGTGACCTGGGGAGAGCAAGGGGAAACTGACTTTAACGTCAACCATACATGCTCATCTGTTACAGAAATAAGATTTATTGCACTCTGTATGAGATCTATAGGCTTTAGAAGGAGTATTTTAATTGAATCAAAATAAGGAAAAARAACCTGTAGCAAAACATAATRGATTTCACAATCCTCYTTCAAAAACAGATGCAAAARCACTTTACTACAGACATGCTCTATTTTAACAATCTAATGTCAGCCATTAATCACATGGAATAAGTATGGACTGAGGGCCAGATAAGGTGCTTGAGCCCATCTCAGTCCAGCCCATAATAT